CGTCGGTATATTTGTCATATATTGCTATTTGTTCTAGCTTTTGCCAGTGAAGTTGTTCTTTCGTTTAGGTTTGTTGCTTTGTTAAGAAAGTGAAGGACTTACCAGCAAAAACTGAAGACAATAGATTTCCTGTAAATGAAAACGCAGATGGAGAAGAACTGTATAATAAATTAGACGTCAGAATCCGATCTTCGGCTTCTTTTGCGGATCAGATCGACGCGGTTTACGATATGTTGCGTCTGAACGACTACGCGAACCGCATTGCGGTCAAAGATCTGATCGAGGCGCACATAACGTCGTTCTTTGTTCCTTACCATATTTCGCTTCACATATACGGATCTTCTACCAACGGTTTCGGGTCAAGGATCAGTGACCTGGATATGACTGTTTTGTTCAGTGATTTAGGTATTTCAGTTATTCTTTTTTCCTGTTACTTGTATGGTCGAACACCTTTCATATTCTAACGTTTCATTTAGTGAAATATTCCATCAAGTAGTGGTGAGTCATCTGGTTTGCAGTCATCATAGCCAAATTTTGGCGTAACAGTTACTGGTACTCTAACTCAAATCTCTGATCAAGGCATGCGTTTTCACTAGTCCAGATGTTACAGCAGTTGTAAAAATTTCGGCAAGAACGTCGAGTATATTAGGCTAGTCTTTTCGGATTGTGGTTGCAGTAGTTTCAGAAGGCTCTTCCAGTCCCGCCACTCTGCCATCAGTCAAATCCTACATATTTCCAAGGCGAAACTAGCAAGTATTCAGTACAACCTAGTAACCCCACTGTTTATCTGCTTGTAAGTGGTGTGCTACGCGGTTTTGCGATGAGACTCCCTTTTGCATAACTCATTGCTTCATGTTTCCAGATGAATGCATGACGATTTTTATTCCTATTGTAGCCGCCTGTGATTTTCAGTAAACAGGTTTTCCCCACTCTGAATAGTGCGCATCATCATTCTTCCTGAATCGATGTTTGCGGGCTACACATGACTGCAGACATCACCGGCTTTTTAAAGCTGTATCTTTACCCTAATTTTATCCTGACGTCTGCCGTTTGAACCGATTATTGAGATGTCCGGGCAAAGCAAATAAAAGTACTAACGATGCGTGATGGTTAGTGTTGCATGCTGTTATTTGCAGAAATCAGGCGTAATAATGTCAGTCAAACTTGAAAGGAAAGTATTATCAATTGAAATGGCCGTCTTCGTGACACTTTCGTGATGGGGCCATTTAACGTTCATCTTTTCATGAAGTTAATGATGAAGACTTAGACTTGAATGTCAGATCGAAATCCCACCGACTGATGGATGATTCTTGTTTTCGCCGTTTGCTACGTTTTTGATCTATGCAGTACATAGACACCTGTCATCTACATTCTGCTCCTTCATAGATGTTTGCCATTTTATGGGAAAATGTCATTATTTCTTATGTACACCATGCCAGTGAAATTTTAGGCGAGGACGTTGTCAGTGGTCACGTTCAACGAGAGCCGGATTATCTACTGCAAATCGATGTCGGTGCGCTTGCGAAAGATGCGCCTATATCGCAAAACGAACTGAAGTCTCTGACGCATGCTGACGCTGTAACGTTGCTGTATAGAATACTTAAACTGAACAGTCGCCTGTGTAATCCAACTTTGATAATAACCCGCAAGTGTCCTATTGTTCGCTTCAATTTCTGCCAGTATCTATGTCAGTTGTCGTACAATAACGTTTCGGCGGTTAACAACACTCGTTGGCTGCATGAACTATCACAGGTTTCTAATGACTGGCTGCCAAAGCTTGTTGGTTTAGCTCGCTACTGGATTTCGAAATGCGAGAAAGTGCAGGGCGTGAAGTCAGACATGGACGGGTACGCAATAATGTTATTGATGATAACGTTTTTGAAGCTTCGTGGTTTGGCGTCGTATTCAGTGGAGTCGAGCAACGATTCAGCCGAATCTGCTTCACTGTATCATTGGAGCATATCCAACGAAAGTAAGCGTCTTCGACATTGCAGTATTTGCTCCAGTCTTCAAGTTAGATTTGATGTTCTTCGTTGTGAATTGAATAATGTTTTTTTGTTTTATAATAATACACAGCATGTATACATGTCTATATGCCATATCTTGTAATTTCAATGCAGACTGTCAACAGCATTAATCTGTACGAGCTTTATTGATTTGTATGGTATGAACGGCGAGCATGTTACCGGAATGGTCAGTTTCCTCATTTATTATCAGTGGTATTATCATTATATTAATATACTAATAGTATATTAGTATTATCACTACCTAGCGCGCACGGTAGAAACATATCTTCGTGCTTACTGTTATTCAAATATGGTGTCACGTTGGTAAAGTGCTGAATCGAAAACTGAAGAACACGCTGAGAAGGTTTAAAAGGAAAAACCTGATATTGAAATTCTGTCTGGCATATTCGAAGATTCGTTTATTTGACTTAAAAATTCGCTCTTCTTCATAAAGCATGGAAAAATGAATATGCGCAATTCTCTTCGATTAAATTCAAATTTCATGGCCGCTTCTCATTTCGGGTCACGGAGGCAGACGCATCATGCAATTCTTCCAACGTTACCGACCTTCTGCCAGCGTCTGAGCTTCGAAAGATGACAACCAGAGCGTAGAGCAGACTCCTT